TATTGGACACTATTGAATGAAGGAGGTGGTGCAGCTTCCCTGGAAAATAACCCAGCAACATTTATTAAAATAAAAAAAACAAACAAACCCTCCTTTAACTGAGCAATCCCAGCCTTGGGAATTTGCCCCATGGAAACAGGACCACCCATACATAGGAAAGAGAATACAAAGATGATCAATGTAGCATTAGTTGCAAAGACACTGGAAACAATGAATGCCCATCAGTGAATGGTTGAATAAATGTCCATCAGCAAATGGTTGAGCAAATGGTGACATGGCCATACAATGGCATATTATGCAGTCTTTAAAACAAAAAAAAAATGAGAGCCGGTCCAATAGTCTTGGAGAACTTTTCACAAGGTATTGTTGAGTAAGATAAGCAAGGTGCAGGTGTGAATAATAAGATACTGTTTCTTTAAAACTAACAACAACAAGGGGTGCCTGGGTGGCTGAATCAGGGTTGAGCATCTGACTCTTGATTTCAGCTCAGGTCATGATCCCAAGGTTGTGAGACTGACCCTCATGTCGAGCCCCATATCGGCCCCACTTCCGGCTCCATGCTTAGCATGGAGCCTGCTTACGATTCTCTTTCCCAGTTCCTGAGTGGCTCAGTCGGTTAAGTGTTCGACTTCAGCTCATGTCAGGATCTCACATTTCCTGAGTTTCAGCCCCGAATTGGGCTCTCTGCTGTTAGTGTGGAGCACACTTCAGATCTTCTGTCCCCCTCTCTCCCTGCCCCTCCCCTCCACTCTCTCTCTCTCTCAAAACTAAATAAATATTTTAAAAAATGATTCTTCTCCCTCTCCCCCACTTGTGCACGTGTTTTCACTCTAAAATACAATTTTTAAATTTTGGAGACTGTGGGGGTGTTATCGCCATGTTCCTGTCTGTGGTCACCTAATCTTAGCGGATCCCTACAAGTAGTTACTTGAGTGACAAACCATGGCGTACTTCATGACTTACGTATTTATTACAGAGATTTATATGAACTTTGCATAAGAAAGATAATAAATTGATACTTTCTTTTCTCTTTCAACCTTTCCTCTCTGAGAAAAAGTTGCCAAGAGCAAGTCACAAACCATTCTGGTAGAAATGCTGAGCCAAGCTGGGACGGGTTACTTCCTCAACACTAAGAGAAGCCGACTCCGGGAGAAACTGACTCTCCTACGTTATGATCTGATTGTGAAAACAAAAGTCCTCTTTGTGGAACAGAAAAACATACACTCCCTCATAAACAATGGATTGAAAATGAATTTGATTTATAAATGAGAAGACTGAGGGCGGGATACTGATTCAGAAATTCTGCAGCGTGTAATAGAAGAAATGGCAGGGAACCACTGCCTCCTGTGATTTGAAGGCCACTGTGAAGGAAAACAATGTACTGAAAGTTTTTCATATTAGGACATATATCATTGCATCACATTCATTTATCTTTCTGGATATTTTCATAGCCCTTAATAAAAAATATTAAAATAAAAAAAGGAAATAAAACACAATTTTTAAAAATTGCTTTAAGGGACCCCGGGTGGCTCAGTCGGTTAAGCCTCCGACTCTTGGTTTCGCTCGGGTCATGATCTCGGGGTATTGTGCGTTCGAGGCCTGCATGGGGCTCTGTGCTGACAGCTCAGAGCCTGCTTGGGATTCTCTTTCCCTCTCTGCCTCTTTCCTGCTCCGGGGCATGCAGGCTCTCTCTGTGTCTATCTCTCAAAATAAATAAGTAAACTTAAAAAAATAAAACCACACCAAACTTGTGTGCATTAAAAAATTGTTTATGCTGATACGTGGAAAAAATAAGCAAAAATAAAGAGAAAAAAGAGGAAAAAATCTAGTTCAGATCTTCCATGTTCTTTCACATCATCCCCTGTAAAGGAGAGTTGGCCTCTTCAGAGTTGCACCCTGAACCCACACTGTGCCCCTTACAGGCTCCTTCCTATCCCTATACCTGACTGGTGGACATTGACAATTACATCTACTATCTGTCTCCTTCAATGTCTGGTTGGTCCCGGGGGTCACAGATCATTCTTACTAAATGTCCTAGCATGGTAATCCCCAGGTTAAATAGTCAAGAAGTCTCACTAAGTGATTGTTTCGTCACTCAGCCTGAAGAATCTGCAGAAGGAAAGAGGATGCCTTGGCCCCTTTCCTTGAAGAAATTCTTAGAACAGTTGGCCTCAAATATTCATGAGCATCAGAATCATGTTTTGGCAGGTGGGTGTGGTATTTTGATTTGGCAGAACTGGGGTGGGGCACTGTAATCTGCATTTTTAACAAGCACTCCCGTGTTATTCTGACCCCATTTTGAGAATCTCCTCTAAAGTCAAGATATGCATAGACAATTGATTTCATTTCCATTTAAATTCTCAGAGACATCTCAGACTTAGCAGGTCTAAAGTGCAACTCTTGGCCTGCTTAGTTGGTGGAGTGTGTGACTCTTGATCTTGAGGTTGTGGGTTTGAGGCCCACATGGGTGTAGAGATTACTTAAAAATAAAGTCTTAAAAAAAAAAAAAGTAAAGTGCAACTCTTGATACCCTCCCAAATTTTTCCACCACCCACACAACCTTCCCCATCTCAGCAAATGATTCCACATTCCACCTAGTTACTCACACCAGGAATCTTGAAGTCATTTGTTTTTTTATTTTATTTTATTTTATTTTATTTTATTTTATTTTAGGGAGAGAAAGAGCATGCAAGCAAGGGAAGGAGCAAAGGGAGAGAGAGACAATCTTTTTTAAAAAATATTTGTTTCATTTTGAGAGTGAGAGAGAGCCCGTGCACATGAGCACAGGGAAGGAGCAGAAAGAGACGGAGAGAGAAAAATCCCAAACAGTCTTTGCACTGACACAGCGTGGAACCTGACCCAGGGCTCAAACTCAGGACCATGAGATCATGACCTGAGCTGAAGTCAAGAATAAGACGCTTAACTGACTGATTCACCCAGGAATCCCATCACTCTCTCTTTTTAAAAGTTTATTTATTTATTTTGAGAGAGAGAGAGAGCACACTCTCACGCATGCTCCAATGAGTGGCGGAGGGGCAGAGAGAGAAGGAGAGAGAGAGTATCCTAAGCAGGTTCCGCACCATCAGCACAGAGCCTGATTTGGGGCTCAAACTCACCAACTGTGAGATCATGATCTGAGCCGAACTCAAGAGCTGGACGCTTAACTGACTGATTCACCCAGGTGCCCCCCCACCCTGCCCCGCCACCCTCTCCCTTTTAAAGTAAGCTCGATATCCAGTGTGGGGCTTGAACTCATGACCCCTGAGATCAGAGTCAAATGAGTCACATGCCCTACCAACTGAGCCAGCCAGGCACCCCTGAGGGATCTCTTGGAAATGTAAACAGGGTCACGTTGCTCCTCTTCTTCAAATCTATCAAAGCTTTCCCTCTGTGCAGAGTCCAGCTCCTCGCTGTGACTTCACGGCCCTCCTTGGTGAGTGGTTCCTGCCTCTCTTTCCACTTCACTTCTAAATCCTTTTCCCTACCCCTTGTGGTCCCTCTGACCTGGACTGACTACAGAACATGCAGGGCCCAGTGGAAAATGAAAATGCAGAGCACTTGCTCAAAAATTATTAAGAATTTCAAGATGTAACAGTTACACCAAGAATGGAGCATCAACCCGAGGGTGGAGCCTTTCCGAGTACAGAGCTTTGTGCTACAGGCCCTGCCTCTGCCTGGAACTGTCTGCCCCAGTTTATAATACCCAGCTCTCAGCTCAAATGTCACCTCTTCAGAATTGTCCGCTGAATTTAAAGTAACCTCACCCAGTTCCTCTCAATCATATCACATCACTGGGTATTATGATCTTTTCTGCACGTGGCCCTATCTGAAATGATCTCATTTGTTTACTTGTATATTTTCTGTGTCTCCCTGCTTCCCTCCGCGCCCCCCCCCCCCCCACCAGAAAAAAGAAACTCAATGAAGGACCTTTCCCGCCAGGTCACTTCTGTATCTCCAACACCCAGAGCAGGGCTGCTTCAAGACTAGGCACATGATAAATGTTCGGTGAATAAAACAAATGACTATGCTGAAGAATGCACTCCAGGAAGCTGGTGAAGCGTACTGGCCATCTACCACAGGGGCATCCTACAGCCAGCAGCGTTTTTGCTTTTGTTTTTTATTATTTTTTTTAAAGATTAAAAAAAATGTTCATTAAGTAAACTTTACTCCCACCGTGGGGCTCGAACTCACAATCCCAAGACCAAGAGTCGCATGCTTCACTGACTGAGCCAGCCAGGTGCCCCTATTTTTTTTTTATTTTTTTTATTTGAGTCGCATTTGAATTCCTTCAGGCATCCTTCCCACTGTTTTTTTTTTTTTTTTTTTTTTTTAATGTTTATTTTTTGAGACAGAGAGAGAAAGAGCACAAGCGAGGGAGGGGCAGAGAGAGAGGGAGACACAGAATCTGAAGAGGTTCCAGGCTCTGAGCTGTCAGCATGGAGCCTGAAGCTGGGCTTGAATTCACGAACCATCAGTTCATGACCTGAGTTCAAGTGGGATGCTTAACCAACTGAGCCACCCAGGTGCCCCTTCCCACTGTCTTAAATTCTATCCCAATTTACACACTTCAGTTCCTGTCTTTTCTGTGGTTGAGCAGGGATGAACACATCACTTTCGAATCTTTTTAGTTATGTGACCAAGAACAAATTACTTGATGTCTCTGAACCTTTCCTCTTCATCTGCCCAATGAGGACAATTGTTCTATCAGCTATTTGAATTGAGATTAAAGGAAATAACACCCATACATTGCATGTAAACACTAAAATGTGTATAAGTGCTGCTGTTACAAGTTTAAGAGAGGCAGTGGTGAAATGGGAAGGACACGGCATTCTGGTTCTAGCTCTTCACCTACTACATGTATGACCTTGGCCATGTGACACTACCTGCCTTAGCCTCCGTGTCATCTCCCACAAAATGGCTGTGTAAGCAGTGACAGCTATGTTACAGTATTGTTGGGATTATCAGAGAAGGTTCGAGAAGAAAGTAGGAGTTACTCTTACCTTTCCCTGAAAGAGCAGTGGGAAGGAGCCATTGGAAGAGCCCCGGGACAGTCCCTCGTGTAGCCAGCAGGGGTCTGCTCTCCCTCACATTGTACCCAGGACTCCTTGGGAGACACAGCTGGGTCCACAGGGCCCAAAGAGAGGCAGCTGTTGGTTTCACCATCCCAAATGCCTGTCTCCATAATGAGAAAGGAACAGAAATCTGATTTCACAGATAAGCAAGGCACCTCCCCCAACCATGCAAAAACAAACAAATAAATAAAATAGCTACCCTTTGTGCCTTCCAAAATGTGCGGGTTCCAGCTGATGGAGTTCAGGACATGCAACCCCCAAATATGGCACTGTGACATGTTGAATGTTTCAAGCTGAAGAAATTTAAGGAATCATAGATGCAGAAAGGGCTTTCTAACTCCCTGAAGCATGTCAGAAAACTGTCATGTGAGAAGTGCTCTCTCTATATCTGGAGAGAAGAAGCACCCTTATCTCTGAAGACTGAGGGATACAGGGAGGAATCTGAATGAACAGGCCTTGCTACATTTCTCCCAGTTTACTATATTGTTCTATCCTATCTTTCTACAGTTGGGTCCTCATTTCCTTATGAAGGCTCCCATGTCACTTAAAACTTATACTAAATAAATCTGTATGCTTTTCTCTTATTAGTCTGTCTTTGGTTACAGGAGTTCCAGTGGAGAACCTAAAAAGGTAGAGAAAAAGGTATTCTCCCTCTCCTACACAGCCTCTATCATTACTTACTGACCCTACACTCTTGCAGGCTGGGGCTTCATAGATCAGTCCCACTTTTGCTGCTTGGCTACCAGGAGTCTGACCTTGGGTGAGGGTGGGATTGGGGAGGTCTGGAGGAAAGGAGGGCCTTCTAAGACTGTCCCAGCTCCTTCCTCCTTTGCCTTCAGTGCCCCGCCCTTTTCCTGTTCCCATCAGCTTCAGCCTTCACAGTGCCGGCCTTTCCCTATGCTGGTTCCCACTGGACAAATGTCTAGTTTGGCATCTGGGAGTAGAGGTTTAGAGGTGGGACTCTTGACCCAGGCAGACCCAATTTGAATCCAGACTCCACCTCCTACTAGGAGTTTGACCTTGGGTAAATTCATAGAAGCCTCAGTTTCCTTACTTGGGAAATAGGAAAAAACCTAATCATAGTACCTACTTCATAGGGTGGCTGTGAGCACCAAATGAGATAATGCATGTGGAGTTATTAGCTTGCTGCAAGCACGGCACATAGTAAGCCCCACCCCAAAGGCTGCTAAATAGGGATAAACTTTCAAAATATCTAACAACTGTTCTCCTTGGCCAAGTATAGAAAAATCCGAGGGGCTGCTGGGTGGCTCAGTCGGTAAAGTGTCTGACTCTTGATTTCGGCTCAGGTCATGATCTCACAGTTCATGGGATTGAGCCCCGAGTAGTGCTCTGTACTGACAGCATGGAGTCTGCTTGGGATTCTCTCTCTCCCTCTCTAACCTCTCCCCTGCCCACAAACATCCTCTCTCTCTCTCAAAATAAATAAATAAACATTAAAAAAAATCTGAGTTATGTGATACTCTTTTCTATGTTGTCTTATCCCTGCAAGAAGTGAAAGAATAGAGAATTGGCTGGTATGGACCTTTTTTTCAATCACTAAATTGAATTTTTGGTTTTAATTGAAGTAATATTATTTCCATAGGCTAAAAAGTCAAACTATTCTGCATGACTTTTTATGAAAAAAGTCATCTCACCACTAATTATTATTTGGAGGCAGCTGCTTTCAACTCTTTTAGCTCTCTTCCTTATTTTTAATCATGCCTCTGTCCAATATTTCTTCATTCTAAATAATATGCTCATACTAATATTTCTTGATTTTTTTTCAAATGTAGACATTACCTATTGAGTTCCCATTATGGAAGAAGACTTATATCTCCCAAACTAGCCCCCTTTCCTTTCCTATACCCTCACTATATACTTTTGTTAAACATTTTTATTAGATCAATATTCAGGTTTTTTTTTTTGTTTGTTTGTTTGTTTTTAGAGAAAGAGAGGGTGCAAGTGAGCAAGGGGCAGAAAGAGAGAGAAAAGTGGGTCTCAAGCTCACTTGAAGTGGGGCTCCTGCTCACCAGAAGCAGGGTGCAAGCTCACCCAAGCAGGGCTCGAGCTCATCAGATGTGGAACTTGAACTCATGAACTGGGAGATCATGACCTGAGCTGAAGTCAGATGCTTAACAACTGAGCCAGCAGGCGCCCAATATTCAGTTTTTATATTACTGTGATTGTAGGTATTTTTCACAGTTAAGCCATGTTACAGAGTAGAATTACTATCTTTAATTTTTTTCCTTATAGGGGGTGCCTGACTGGCTCAGTCGGTGGAGTGTGTGACTCTTGATCTTGGGGTTGTGAGTTCAAGCCTCATGTTGGTGTGAAGATTGCTTAAAAAAATAAAACCTTAAAAAATTCTTTTTCCTTATAATATTTTCCCTTGAAGTTTTTTGTCTGTCTTTCTTTCTTTCCTTTTCTCTTTCCATGGTTTTCTATATTGTCACTGACTTCCCCTGTATACACTTTGGAGAAATGAAAATGTCCCTTTCAGATCCACTAGTATCCCAGCAATATTCTTTCTGGCTTGCCCCTTCTTGGGGCCTCTGTCCTCCTGTGTCCTCTTATTTTCATCTGGATTGTGTGTTTTTAGGCCTGCTGCACACTAGTCATCCTGGAGTGTCTCCACACGGTTACCCTGGGAATCCTTTCGCTTCTTCCTCAGGCTGGATTTGATTTCTGGACCTCAAGTCTCCCTCTTTATTGTTTTACTCCTTTGTTTTGCTGTAGAACTTCCCTTAGTGTCTTCCAGAGAAAGAGTCCGTGGAAAATAGATTTTTTTTTTTTTTTGAGAGCTTGCAGGTTGAAAAATGTCATTTTCCCCTTTTACAGTTGAGTAATGATTTGGGTGGATAAAGATTTTTTTTCTTTCCTTCTTTTTTGGGGGTAGGTGGGTGGGTGGATATAGATCTCTAGGTTCAAACTCTCCTCTCAGAATTTCTAGGGAATTACTCCTTAGTCTGGTGTTTTGGAGAGATCCAAGATCATTCCAATTCTCAATCCTTCATTTGTGACCTATTTTTCTTCTTTGGAAAGCTGTAAGACCTTCTCTTTATCCCATGTGTCCTGAAATTTCACAACGCTGTACCAGGCAGCAAGCTATTTTTCCATCCATTGTGCTGGGCCCTCTCAACTTGGACATTCAGGCTCTTAGAACCAGAAAATGTTATTTCTTCAATATGCTCTTCCTTCCTTTTTTCCCCCATTCTTTCTGGAAATTCTGCTATTCAGATGCTGGACTGACACTTACATTTTCTTCTCTGTTCTTTCCTATTTTTCTTCTCACCTATTCAAAAAAATCTTTCTTTAGTGCCTATTATGTGTCATTCATTATTCTAGGTGCTAGGGATATAGAAGGGAATAGAACTGGAAAAAAAAACCACCTCTGCTCTAATGGAGTTTACATTAAATATTAGAAAGTGTAACTACTATGGAGAAAAATAAAATTAGGGAAAGAGACCAGGATGTTCAGAACACTAAGCTCCGTGATTTTAAATAGGGTTATCAGGGAAGATCTTACTGAGAAACTAACATTTGAATAAAGCCCAGAGGATGAGGAGACAAACCACATGGATAAGTTATCTTGGGAAGAATGAGGCAAAAGGAACAACATATACATTAGCCTCTAAGTAGGGCAGACTGAGGCAGGAACAGGTCTGGATCAAGGTATAGCCAAGAAGCCAGTGTGCCCAGAGAGGAGGGGCAGAGAGGAATGACGTCTGAGAGGTGAGGTGATAGTGGTCCATGACAGGGAAAGCCACTGAATGGTTTCAGCAGAGGACTAATGTGCTCCAATTGACCTCGTAACCTTATCACCATGCTCCTTGGAAGACGGTAGGGGGTCAGGGTGGAGGCAGACACTTAGTTGCTATTGCAATGATGAGGGAGAAAGTAAAGATGGCTTGGACCAGGGTGTCTTTTTATTGTTTTCTGGGAGATTTCTGCTATTATTTCCTAACTCTTCTATTGAATCTTTCATTTCTGCTTAAAACATTTTAACTTTCAAAAGTTATTTCTTAATCTCTGAATATTCTTTTTTTCTCTTTTTGGCATCTGATGCTTCCTGATGTGGTCCCTTATTTCCTGGGGTAATATTATATTTCTGTGGCTATTGATTGCCATTCTTTTGATGGTTTCTTTTATTATTTCCATTATCTCTGGTCCCTCTGAATTCCCCTTCCTGTTTTTTGTTTTGCTTTGGGGTGGGGGTGTCTCTGTCTTACAGGTTCCCTTCAATGTCTGGTTATCTTTGGCTATCCATTCATACATAAGAGCTAAGTGGAAGCTCTGTGTGGATGGGGCTTCTGGAATGATGGACTTCTCTGCAGGATATCTGGGCTGGAACATGACCTTTATATGTTGGGGAGACCCCACCCCTACTCCCATTTTTTCCACCAAGTCTGACCACAATGTTAGCTTCTACCAACTCTTCTCACTTTCGGCATGGTACTTCTTTCCTTATCTGTGCCAGATATGTTAAAGTCTCTTTGTTCAGTCTTTCCGGAGGACAAAGGAATTTATAGAGTCCGTTTCCTAAACTGCCTTGTAACCAGTCCTGTTTTCAACTCTCTCATCTTGGTACCTGCTGATTCCAATTCCTGAACCTTTCTGGTATACCCTAGCGTTAGTCAACCAGTTTCCTTGGCTTCTCCACTCCAGTAATTTGTTTCTTCTATTCTACTAAAGCCATTTCCATTTAAATTTGTTTCTTCTATTCTACTAAAGCTATTTCCATTTAGCTATGCTTTCCGGCTTCCAAAATCTTTTCTTTTCTTTTCTTTTTTTTTTAAATCTTTTCTTTTTTAAAAGATTTTATTTTTAAGTAACCTCTACACCCAATGGGGGCTCAAACTTACAACCCCATGATCAAGAGTTGCATACTCTACATACTGAGCCTGTCAGGAACCCCTCCAGCTTCCAAACTGTTGTTTACATCTCTTGCCTGCTGTTGTTCCTTCTTCAGGCCTCCTTGTCCATGTGAGTTTACTGCCCTTCTCATCCTCTTATTGTCATTTTAGTGGGGTTGGGAGAGAGAGAAGGGGTGTATCTGATTCAACCTGCAACATTTTAACCCTCTAGTCTCTCTACAATATTTACATTCTGTGTTCTGCCTCTCCTTAGATAGAGAGTTCTTTTCGCAGCTTAAAATTGTAATTTGCTCGAACTGGGCTTGGGTGAGGCACAGGGTAACAAAGGAATGGAAGATACACATCCTTCTTCCAAAAACTTATATTCCACTTGACTCTCTCAGGGTCGGGAAGGGCTATTTTCCATTTTATGATTTATGTCAACTACTCTTTTCAAAAGCAGGGAAGTTTTCATGTCTCTCCTACATTTTGTGTATTTTGGCTAAGGGAGCTGGAGGCTGGGTGGGGTCCTCAGGAAAGCCATAGGATGGAAAAACCTGATTCATAACCCACACAAAGTCATTGCCGGTCATGGGCAGTAGAGATTACCAAATTTAATTTCCTTATTTTATAAAAAGGAAACTGAAACCCAGAGAGCTTTAGTTGATTTTGATCAACTTTGGTCTCCTTAAAACATATTTAATCTCTTAAAAATGCCAACTCTTGGGGCACCTGGGCGGCTCACTAGGTTGAGCATCCAACTCTTGGTTTCAGCTCAGGTCATGATCTCACAGTGTCATGATCTCACAGTTCATGGGATTGAGCCTCAAATCCGGCTCCAAGATAACCGCACAGAGCCTGCTTGGGGTTCTCTCTCTGCCCCTCCCCTGCTAGCCTGCACTTTCTTTCTCTCGTTCTCTCAGTATAAATAAATAAACATTAAGAAAAACAAGTCAACTCTTAACAGTTAAGGGGCCTTTAGGTCTAACTTTCCCTTCCCTTTGCTCCAAGCCTGCGGTCGCCTTGCTGTTCCTAAAGGTCAAAGGTCATTTTCGAGGTCTCTGAAATGCACTGTACCTTGTTTTATTTTTTGTGGCACTCGTTAATATTTAAAATTATGTAAATATTTTACTATTTATCTGATTTTCTCCACTGGAACTTAAGTCCTATGAGAGAAGGGCTCATTCCTGTCTCGTTAGCCGCTTAACCCTCAGAGCAAACCAGGATTTGAAAGGAGCTAGTCTGGTTCCAGATCTGCGCTTTCAACCACGATATTACGTTGCTATTCAGTGAATAAAGCTGAGGATGAGCTTCTACACACACATGGAAACAAGAGGGTAAGAAAATATATCTCACGCGTAGAAGCGAGCAGGTGGAAAACATCCGGACCCAAGCGCATTGTGCCCCCGTGACCTTTCTCTCCGGAAGCGCTTGCTGCTCTCGGGCGCGAACGCGCACGCGCGGCCGCCGGGGTCGCTCTGGGCCGCGAGAGTGGAGGGGACTTAAGGGAAGGTTCCGCCTCCAGGGCCGAAAGGCGCCTGCGCTGGAGGGGCTCCCTTCTGGACGCGACTTCTCGCTTCCTCCCTCCCTGCCTGCGCGCGCCGGGTGGGCGTGGGAGGAGGCGGGGAACTGGGGAGGCGAGCGAGGGGGCGGGTGTCGCGGGAGGGAAGGAGCGAACCCGAGAGCTTCGTCCTGAGAGGAGCGAAGGCGGCAAAATGGCGGACCGCTTCTCCCGCTTCAACGAGGACCGAGACTTTCAGGTAAACACGGGCGTCGCCGAGCATCCGGGAAGGCGCTGGCCGAGCCGGGACCTCCTCACCCCCCGCTCCCAGCTCTTTTCCTTCAGGCTCCCCTCCGGATTACGAACCGGCTCGCTCTGCTCCCGCCTCCCAATTCTTCAGGGGGCCTCCCAGCTTGAGGCGAGGCCGCGTCTGCTCTCACTTCTTATTCTCTTACCTGTTAAACTTAGGCCGCGGGTTTGCGGCTTCGGCCTGCTTGGGCGGGTTTCGGAAGCCCGACCGCACACTGGGGTCTGTGCTCCCCTCGGGTCCGCCCGGCCTGCGGAGGCGACGGGCGGGCTCCCGGGGGGAAAAGAGGGGTGGGTTGGGAGGGCTTCGGGCGGGTGTTGCTGAGACTGCCGCTTCCGAACCCCTGGGTTTTGCTCGCTCGGCTCTTCTTGGGGTCGTCCTTCGTCCATCCTCACTAGGGTGAATCCCTTTCATTGTCTGTCTTTTCATTTCTTCCCATGGAAAAGGGTGCTTTAGTTACCAGACGCCTTCTTGGTTGGTCAAACATTGAGATTTCTCCGGGCGTGAACGTTGTTGTTGTTGTTGTTGTTGTTATTAGGCCGTTAGTTTTGCTTGGCAAGCCGTAAGTTGTAGGACTGTGGTCGACGTAAGGTTGGCCCCCACCTACCTCGAAAGATTTTTAAGAAGCGTAATGATCATGGACTTCCTAAGCGTTTGATAACTAGCGCCACAAGCTGCCTTTTTCTTTCTTTAGTTGCAAGTGTTGTAAGGAAAAATGTCCTCGTGATAGCAGGCATTATTAAGCAAAAAATAAAGGCCAAATTGGAAGAACTCGTCTTTCGGGTGTTTAAAATACCTTCCAGTTGAGCATTGTTACCGCAGAAATCTCGGCCACTAAAAGGGATTTACTAGAGATTGCTTATTTCTAGGGTAAAGTACATCCTTGGAGTCTCAAAGAAACCACTGCATTACTACCGCATATCCTGGCAACAACAATTTGGGTCAGGGGATGAACATCAGAACTCAAGTTTTTATCCCGCTGCAGATCTTTCTCTGAATATCAACATGGGATACTCTAGATATGTTTCAGAAGGCGATTTGAAGGGTTTGAATTCCCCGAAATGATTGGGTTGGTTAATAAACAGGTAAAGCAGTTAAACCAACACTGTTAAACAGACTAGTGCATAGAACGCTTGTGAGAAGTTTTGCAGCAGTAAGGGATCTGGGGGCTGTTAAAAAGCCTTGTAATCATGCGCCTGCTGTGTAGCTGTAGCACAGGACTGGATCTCAAGGTGTTTAAGAATATAATGCAGGGCCAGGGAAGTTGAAGCAGTTCCTGTATAACCATTTGATTCCTGAGAAAGATTGTTTTTTAGTGAGAACTATAAAACGCGTGTAGGCTGAAAGATGCGTGGGCTTTATTGGTAATTTTTAAAGAGACATGTCGTTAAACTAAAATCCTCAAGTGCTTTTTCAGAGGAGAGAATTTCAAGGTGACCTAATAAAATTGAAAATAGATAATATGGACAGTTAAGTTTTGAGGGAAAATGGCTGTCAACCCCAGAAGTTCAGCAGGCTTAAACAAAGAGCATTTGCAGAGCCCTGAAAGAAGAATTTGAAAACTGGATAGCAGATTATGAGTGCTGTCACTTGAAAAAAATGAGAAAGCCTCTACCTTTCAAGTAAGAGTTCTTTCTCTTAGGCTTTGGTTGGGTTTATGTAAAACCTGGTTGCTAGTCCTTGGAGGATAGTACGTTTATTTGAAGTTTGTTTCCTGCTTGTATGTTGGAATAACCAACTCCTGCAGTATTGGGTCAGCCAGGAAAATGTTGGTTTTTAAAAATTCAGATGTCCTCCCCTGTTCATGCTCTGTCTCTCTCTGTCTCAAAAATAAATAAACGTTAAAAAGAATTTTTTTTTAAAAAAGGGGCGCCTGGGTGGCTCAGTCGGTTGAGCGTCCGACTTCGGCTCAGGTCATGATCTCGCGGTCCGTGAGTTCCAGCCCCGCGTCAGGCTATGTGCTGACCGCTCAGAGCCTGGAGCCTGTTTCAGATTCTGTGTCTCCCTCTCTCTCTGACCCTCCCCTGTTCATGCTCTGTCTCTCTCTGTCTCAAAAATAAATAAACGTTAAAAATTCAGATGTCCTAATATTAAGGGTAAAATAGGGTATTGGGAATGAAAACCTTTTAGACAATTATAAGATGTTACAACTTCTGTAAATTATTGTACTACATTTCTAAAAAGCATCCATTTAAAAATACTTAAATGTGGCACCTGGGTGGCTCAGTCTGTTGTGTCTGACTGCTGATTTCTACTCAGGTCATGGTCCCAAAGTAATGGGTTCAAGCCCAGCGTCAGGCTCCATGCTGAGCATGGAGTCTGCTTAAGATTCTTTCTCTCCCTCTGCGCCTCTTTGCTGCTCTCTTCTTTCTCTAAAATAGAAAAAAATACATAATAAAAATACTTAAAGTAGTAATTTTCTGGATATTATGGTAAAAGGAAAAATAAAAATTGATTTTCATTAATATGGTCTTTCAATTAAAGTTACTGAGAGGAAGTGTAATAGCATGCTTCTGAATATAGTATATCTGAAACAAATTTCAGGGTTGGGTTATTCAAAATTAAATGTGGCCTCCTTTTAAGGTTTTAAGTGATAAATGAGGTGAAGGCATTGAATACAGTTGAAAACAAATCCCAAGTAGGTTTCCAAACAAAGTGCATAGATCCTGTTGCCTTAAACAGATCTTCTTACAGCACGAGAAAATTTTCTGTGCTGTCTTCTCTGGTAAGTTCTAGATGAGTATCATTTTCTTTGCCTTTAATTTGGCAAGATAATTTAGAAGTATAAAATTACACTCTTTGCCAATTTATCATCAAGTGCAAATTTTGAAGAGTTTGTGGTATCTTGAACTTAGTATTGAGTCAGAAGTGGGTTCACTTATTTGTAAACACCTGAAGTTTAAAGGTGTTTTGTATAATACGGTGAGGAGCTTAATTAACTGTGGTATGCCACCTGGAGCACTTATGACTAGAAGGGGTAATCATTATCAGGGACATTTAAACATTTTCAGTAAGTTCATTTTATTTATTTATTTTTGTTTTTTAAAAGCTTATTTATTTTGAGAGAGTCAGAGAGAGTGTGCACGAGTAAGCAGGTGAGGGGCAGAGAGAGAGAGGGAGAGAGAGAATCCCAGGCAGGCTCTACGCTGATGGGGGCAGGGGGAGGCTTGAACCCACGAACTGTGAGATCATGACCTGAGCTAAAATCCAGAGTCTGGTGCTTAACTGACTGAGCCACCCAGGTGCCCCTTGATAACTTCATTTTAATAATAAACAGGTATTACTCTACAGGCTTTATGTGTATTATTAGCTAATAATCTTCACAATAACCCTATGAGGTAGGTACTATTAACGCCCATTTTCAAATGAAGCAGTTAAGGCACAGAGAATTAAATAGCTGGCCAACCACATACATTGGATAAATGGCAGAGCCTAGATTCACACTCTGGCTCTTAGACTCTTGAACCTGTGCTCATAATCATTGTGTCTACTGGTAATTACATATTTTCTGTATCTGTAATTGAGTCATCAAATATGGAGGATAAACTTCTAGGTCACAAAGAGTAAGTGAGCTTTTAGAGAGATTACACAAGTACTTTTTACTGTGTTCTCTTTTGTCCAGATCTGTTTCTTGGTCTCTCAAGGACTTCTAAGGAGACTTCTGACAGTGATGAGTTATACTCTCATAGAGGATATATTAACGTAGTTTAGGCATTCTTTTGTGTAGTCTTTTTAAGTGATATTTTTTAATCTTTGGAAATCTTTGTGATTTAGGCTGATGTATTTATTTTTTTTAATGTTAAGTTTTGACTACGGCTTTAAGAATCTGACCTCAATTTCTGAATGAGACATGACTTCTGCCTACACTTACCAGGTTAAGGCATATTTGTTCACAGTTTGAAATGTTAACACAAACTAATGGAAAATATATAGTATAATTTAAGATATAGATGTATTCAGTACTTTGGATTACAGGTTCTCTAAAGAAAGTTTTGTTTGTACAGTGATGTGCAACCATAAGGTGTTAAGATCTGCTCAACATTTCGTGGTTGTGCAGCTATTAATGGTGACACTGCTGAATGCTATGAGGAAATACGTTCTTTAGTTTGTGTTCTTGCAGAGGACTGGTGATTTAAAGTAGCCTCTCGTTACTTTTTGTTCTAAATATATTCTGCATTAGATTTCTTTTTAAAAAAAAATCATTTAATGTTTATTATTGAGAGACAGAGACAGAGCGTGAGCAAGGGAGGGGCAGAGAGAGAGAGAGAGACAGACAGACAGACAGACAGACAGAAAGAATCTGAAGCAGGCTCCAGGCTCTGAGCTGTCAGCACAGAGCCCGACACGGGGCTCGAACTCACAAACTGCGAGATCATGACCTGAGCCGAAGTTGGACACTTAACCGACTGCGCCACCCAGGTGTCCCTCTGTATTAGGTTTCTAGTGAAAAGGAGCTATGATAATAGATAGTTGAGTAATAAAAGAATGAGAGAAGTATCTTAAAGTTCATAATAGAAATAAAATTACCCAAGGATTTTCTATAATCTATGTAAGTAATCATAGTGGTAAATAGCAATAAATCATGTATTACTTTTATGTAGCATGTTTGTAGGATTCTTCTAGGTGTTTCACATGATACCAGGATGTGGCCTTCACTTAATTCTGAAGTTGACCATTAAGTGAGGAGGTTAAAGTTTTAAAGTACTTAGGGCACAGAAGCATGTAAGTATATTTTCTGTGGTGGTGTCTT